TTGGAGTCTCACTCTGTCGCCCAGACTGGAGTGCAGTGGCCGCTCCCGGCCACTGCAGCCTCACCTGCTGGGCTCCAGCAATCCTTCCACCTCAGCCTTCCAAGTAGCCGGAATTACAGGCATGCACCACCAGGCCCAGCTGATTTTTTGATTTATTGTAGAGATGAGGTCTTGCTGTCCAGGCGGGTCTCGAACCCGCGGGCTCAGGCAATCCACTCACCTCAGCCTCCCAAAGGCGCGGGATTATTGCTTCGTTTTAAACACAAAGCAGTGAAGGAGAGAAAGTGGTTGGGTGTTGGAATCAAACAGTATCTATACCTCACAACCACTGTGAGGCTTGAAAAGAAAATGTAGAAGTTCACATTTACTCCAGTAATCTGCTCTTCAGGTAAGGCTGACTTTCACTTGTAAGTCATCTCCAGGTTAAAAGCTTTTGGAGTTAAGTGCTGGGTACACTGGAGTAAATCGTTTGGAACTTAATCCCAATATCCTCTCCTCTCTAAGTAGCAAACACTGGATTAGAGAGTACCTCCTGCCCCCTCTAACCTTTAGGGTCCAAACCAGCACTTTGTAAATTTGTCCCTCCAGAATGGGCTTGTTTAGAAAGCAATCTCCTCCTCCATTTCTTCACTTTTAAGTCGATATATATACTATATATAGTTACATATACAAAGTCTGAATCCCCCAGTTAAGTACTTGCCAAGGACTTCAAGAAATAAAATTGAGGCTGACTTTCAGTTCACAAAGTAACACCACCAAACCTGAGGAAGCCAGTGACCCAAACAAAATGAAAGTTTTGTGAGTAGGGCTAGCAAATGTAACTGCAGAAACATCCAACACAAATCCAAAGCAGCGGCTACAAAACAGGGCAGATTTCAATGCTTCAATCTCATTAGAAAATGAAAACAACTTAAGTATTAAAACAGACAAAATACTAATTTTAATATTATTTTAATCAAGTAACTTAGCTGTTTGAAACAGGAAATTTTAAGACAGTTCAATAGAGCAAAGTAAAGAATTACTCTATTAGGATAATCTGTGAATCAAGTTCAGATTATGTGAATTTGAATTCCACTGAAAGTTTGGCACCGGACCGAACAGTGGTCTAAGCCAACGATTTCTCTTTAGTGTTTAGAAGCCCTGACATGTTTTCCTTTAGATTAAAAGTAAAAGCTTTACAACAGAACCTCAGCTTGACACTGAATATGCTAAGTGCAACTTAGCTTAGGTCACCAATATCTCCTATAGAATTTCAGTTAATGAAAGCAAATCAGCCTTGCAGTAAAGAATTTGAAACCTAGGCAGCATGCAAATTTGCAAAAAATGTCTCCCCTCTTTGGTGTGACAAAGCATATTCTCTCCAGGTATTTAGCTCCCACTCCACTATTCTCACCAGAATCCATCAAAGGCAGCTAGAGATACATTCTTTTATCTCCAGTAAGATTGCTAGGTTTCAATTCCTTAAAATATCAAGCTAGCAAGGTTTTATTACATAAAATGAGTAATTTTACTGTGAAAAATTTGTACACATTATTTGTTTTTAAGAGCTCATAATTTGTGAGATAAGAAATGAGATGAATGACATAAGCCAGTGGCTCTTAACAAAAACAACCGTATGAACTCTCAATTCCCACTGTGCGCTTTTTGTGGAAAGGAGTAATGCTTGAAGATTATTATGCAAATATAGTCAGAACCCATATGGAGTATGATCAGCTAACTGGGCAAGGAATTCACAAAGATGTTATCAACTCTTGTATGTCCAATCTAAAGCCCTGGATGGTCTGTGCAGGCCCCAGTTACCTGCATTCAAGTGCCCATCATTACAACTCCAGTGCCTAGTTATATTCAATGTGAGGTTTAAAAAAAAAAAAAAAAAATCCCAAGTCTTACACCAAAATAGAGGCTCTGACTTAGTAGTATGCTTTTAGCTTTGCTTCTTTTAAAATAAGACATTTTGGAGGAAAAAAAAAAAATCAAGTTTGAAACACAGTAACACTTATTTTGGCAAGATAGCAACCAAAATCTAAAAGCAGGAGCATTGTGTCCAAATGTAAAAGACATTATTAAATAACAAACCACAAAAGAAAAAAAAAAAAAAAAAAAAAACACTGAACAAAAGATACAATGTCTAAACATTTGGAGATTGAAATTTAAATCAGAAGGATAAAAGCTGAAAAATCATGCTAAATTTTTATTAGAGATTAAGCACACCTTTTCCTGTTTCCCCATATAAAATCAGTTTACTGCTTAATCACACCTCAAAATGAGTTTTCTCAGTACAAAGCAACCAACCACAACATACACATAAAATGCTTATTTGTTAATCTAATCATTTCTGACTCATCCAACCTGCAATGCACATAACTCCAAAGACTACCATTTGGGGGTAAGTGTACACATACTGGGGAAATAAAACAATTCCCAGTTTCAAAACCTGCTATTAAAATGACTTATAAGACACTCAGGTCATTTTCACTTCTTGGTAAGATGTTGCACTGCCATTTAATTTTCAGTCTATCTCGGAATGTATGTTACCAGATGCCAATTTGAGGGACTGGAGCTAAATCTTAGAAGTACTTGTTTCTCAATGCATGAATAAGGTAATTACAAATAAGTTTATGTTTTACATCCTGCTGAAGATCTCTTTACAGTCTCAGCACCTAACAATATCTAACAGGCTCCAAGAATGGTTAAATGATGATGCAACACTTTAAACAGGAGCCAATTACTTCAGCTTAAGTCATTCAAAGCCAAAAATCTGAAGAATGACCAAAATCAAATCTTTATGTTTTTTAACTGTATAAATGTGATCCAAATGTGTCCACCACTAGTTTTTCAAAAAGAAACATGCTATAAATAAGCAAACTACATCTGCTCACTGATATGTGTATGGACTCCCTAGATGTCTCATTGGGCTTAATTACAGACCACTCACAGCAACAGATTTTTAGTATAAAGTGTAGCATGATGTTAAGCCTTTTTTAGCTTTTGCACATACATGTTGCACTTCTGGCTGATAATGGAGAAAATTTTGCAGCATTACACTGTTAAGCTAGGTTGCATCCATCCTTTTAAATAGCATCAATATCAATGTCATCATCCTTGTTGTCAGACTTCACAGTTTCAACTTTTGGTACACTGGCAGTCTTCGAATACACCACCTGATCAAATAAATTATTCGATTAATAATCTTTGTCCCAATAAATCTGCTTGTAAAACAAAATGAACCACTAGAAAGAAAAACTGCCTAGATGCAGCTATCATTCTTCATGAAAGTTGTTATGCAAAAACAGAAAGGTACTTGACATGGTCTCCAAAGTCCAAGAGTATTTAAAAAAAAAAAGAAATTTAACTGATGTATGTAAGCGCCTACCAAGAAATTTAGAAACTCAAAAACTACTATTGACTAGAGAGACCGTATCATATAACTTTCAGTGTCTGTGTATTATCACCCCACTAAATATGATTATATTCCAAATGACTGGTCATGTTTTATTGCACCCTACACCTTAAATCTGGAAGTACCTAAAAGTGCCATTTCATATTATTACTCACAAACCGTCTAATTCTCAAACATCTATCGCCAACACCATATTGAACTTTTTCCCAACGTTTACCTCAATGTTCTCATCTTCATCTTCTTCTTCACCACCAGAAGATTCCTCCTCTGCCTCCTTCAACCATTTGATAAACGGTTCCGCTTTAACACGAATCTCTTTGGCAAGTTCTTTTGAAACATATTTTTTAGAGGTCTAAAAAAATATTCAGTACAATTTTCTTAGTTTGAGAATGTTAGATAACTTACTTCAGTTTATTCACACAATCCCCCACTGAGCTGTTTGAGAGGTTTGGATATTTTAATCTTAAATTCTCAGCATAATATATGTCCTCATCAAACACGTTATTAGGGTCTGAACAGTTTCTGCTGTTAGGACTACAAAACTAACGTGACAGGAATCACCTACAAGTTAGTATCAGCCAAGCACAGGGACTGCATTTTAACGCAGAGAAGAGACTAGATGGGTATTAGACATTACTTCTTCATTCAAATCCTCCAACAGTTGTCTCAATACTTTTGAACCTGAAGGGCGTACTTATGTATCCCTCACCTTTCCTGACCAGCTGATGATAACTTCTTCTTCTAAAAGGTCTGCGTCATACATCTCCTTCAAGATATGTGGAATCTTGGAGATGAGTTGAGCTTGATGCATTGCTACCACACACTCCAAACCATGAAGAAGGTACCGTTGAGCTTTTTTGTTGTTGTGACAAAACTGAAATTAGATATCTTGGCATTAACATTTTTTTTTTTACATGTTCTAAATTGACAATCCCAGTATCCAATTATTTATTCCCTTAAGATTGAGATTGTTCCTTTAAGAGTATGGTTCGGCCGGGCTTGGTGGCTCAGCCTGTAATCCCAGCACTTTGGGAAGCCGAGGTGAGTGGATTGCCTGAGCCCGCAGGTTCAAGACCCGCCTGGGCAACTTGCCAAGACCTCATCTCTACAACAAATCAAAAATTTGCCGGGCGTGGTAGCGCGCGCCTGTAGTTCCAGCTACTTGGAAGGCAGAGGCAGAAGGATCACTGGAGCCCAGCAGGTCGAGGCTGCGGTGGCCAGGAATGGCCATTACACTCTGGTCTGGGTGACAGAGTGAGAATAGAACTCAAAAAAAAAAGAGTATGGTTCATACAAAAGTGGTTAAAAAGGTCCACACATAAAGATCCCTATATAAGGGCCTTTATGCAGCACTTTCAGATGCTCACAAGCTGTAAAGTAGGTTAATTACCTCCACTTTCAAGATGACAAAGAACACGCAAAAGTGGTTAAAATGACAGTCTCAAAGGTCACAGTTGTAATCTCATTTATGAACCAATTTGCTTACTCGTAGAAAATGTCGCCTGTATTTCTTAATTTGTTCTCTAATCTTCTCATTAAAAAGAACTTCCGTCAGAACAAGAGGGCCCATGGCTTTTACATCCAGTCTTTCTGCTTCAGCAACAATTTCTTTGTCAGATGAATCAATAATACCCTCTTCCTTCTTTTTCTGCAGATAAAAGGAAAATAATTCAGTTAAAAGACACTTTTGCTAGGCTCAAGATATCAGTTAATGCCTGCTCTCATGGACCAATTTTTCCTAATTTACAATTTCTAAAAGACACAATTGCTAAATACAATGCCTGAAACCACTCTCAAAAAATATCTTTGATGAACGAATAGAAAAAGTGAAAATAAATCTTGCATTAGCATATACATAAAAAGATACCAAGGAAGAAGCTACTTACCAATTTACCCAGCTGAAATAAATATCTAAAAGCTCAAAGCTTTTTGAAGCTGATTTATAGATTAAGGAAACGTCTTACCTTAACAAAATCAAACAGGATATTGACCCGCTCCTCAACTGTTCTTTCCAAATCATCACTGAGTGTCAGAACTTTTGCATGATCACTGATTTCATCCATTCTGCGCCTTTGAGCTTCCTCAGTTGTATCCTCCCCCCAATCATCATCTTCCTCTTCTTCCTTTTTATAAAAATAAAGATGCTTGATCAAATGCCTCAAAAACAAGGAACAAAAAAGTAGATTGTCAAGGTAACAGCATCAAGTTAATTTCCCACCAAAATCAAGAGTTCACCTTAATTCAAGCAACCGACAGAACCTGGAATCCAAAATACTGTTGGAATAATACAATGAAGGCCAGCCTCATCATTTGTGCCAACCTCAACCAAAAGCCATCTACAGCCGGGCTCGGTGGCTCAGTCTGTAATCCCGCGACTTGGGAGGCTGAGGTGAGTGGATTGCCTGAGTCCGCGGGTTCGAGACCCGCCTGGGCAGCGAGACCTCATCTCTACAGTAAATCAAAAAATCAGTCGGCCATGGTAGCGCATGCCTGTAATTCCGGCTACTGGGAAGGCTGAGGCGGAAGGATCACCGGAGCCCAGCAGGTCGAGGTTGTGGTGGCCGGGAGCAGCCACTGCACTCCACTCTGGGCGACAGAGTGAGACTCCAACTCAAAAAAAGAAAAAAAACAAACCAAAAGCCATCTACTTGACAGTTTTAGTGCCCACTAGGTGGTCAACCCTGCACTCACCACAGCATGTGGAGGAGGACTGATTTCATTTGGTGGTGGTGGTGGTGGTGTCTCACTGCTGGATACAGAGCCATTTTCCTTGTCTTTGCCCTTTCTATTTTTCTTTTCCTTTTCTTTCTTTCCTGTACCACTGTCACTATTCTCTATAGAAAAAAGGGAAATATTAGCCAGATAACTTACAATAACTACCCTCAACTTAAAAGACCCTGTTGTTTTGCAATGAATCCCCTCAGAAAAACCACAATGTTACCTATAATTCTAAAGAGCTTCGAAAATCAAATTTATCCATTATATTTTATCAGTAAAAAACACAGGTTAAGACTAGAATGATATGAAACATTAGGGGTATGAACTGTTGGATTAAGTAGTGACACCTCAAATGACCAAAGGTAGCCCTCAAGATTTCTCTCCCCATCACACCTCATGAACCTGAGTAAGACGTATCTCAACTCTGTTTTAGCCAACAGTTGAAACGCTGTTAAAGTCCATATAACGGCTTGTCTCACAGAAGAGAGAACACCGGAATAGGTTAGACTTTCTTGCTATAGCAAGCTCAAATTGTGCCAGACAATTTTGATCATCTGCCACAGAGTGTTGCTTGCAATACTCTAGGGCCACTTAAAATTTAATGAGGCAAATCCCCTGTTTACAAAACAATACCAGAAGTTGATCCTTTGCTGGGTTCCCATCACAGTATGCTTTATAGTAACTATTTTATTCATCCCAGGATGATCTGTTTAAAAGTTGATGGTATGGTATAGTTTAATTAGAAGCCTCTTTTTCATTTTTAAGATAATGATACATTGTCAAAATCTTAGTTTCCATAAAACACTGCAAGGATTAAAAACTCCTCATAGTCAGTCGGGCTCGGTGGCTCAGCCTGTAATCCCGCGCCTTTGGGAGGCTGAGGTGAGTGGCTTGCCTGTGCCCGCGGGTTCGAGACCCGCCTGGGCAGCAAGACCTCATCTCTACAATAAATCAAAAAAATCAGCCGGGCGTGGTAGTGCATGCCTGTAATTCCGGTTACTTGGAAGGCTGAGGTGGAAGGATTGCCGGAGCCCAGCAGGTCGAGGCTGCGGTGGCCAGAAGCGGCCACTGCACTCCAGTCTGGGCGACAGAGTGAGACTCCAACTCAAAAAAAAATAAAATAAAATAAAAATCCCTCATAGTCTTGTTTTATAACAAAAACACTTCCCTTCTGTTCCTGACAATTAGTTGCTTTATGTTAAGAACTTAAGAGTTCTTCATTACAACTTACCAGGTGGGTTTTTGAGAATGAATGTGCAGAGTTTATGATGTGTGTCAAGCATGCCTCGATAGCCACAGGCTTTACAAGAATTACCTATTGTTTGCTTCTTTGGATTGACATGCTGCCAAAAAAGTAAAAGCAAGTATTATCACATCCGTAATACAAGGTAAAACGCTACTATGAAAATACCTAATAATAGAAGACATCTAAAATGTAAGCTGAACACCCAAAAGAAATGTCTTCAGTGATTTACTTTTTAAAAAGGTATGAAAATAGCTCCAAAATTTGAGTTTTTGGTTTTATTTACAATTAAGTTTGCTATGCCTTCTCAGGAACATGATTTAGTGATCCCACAGAACTGATCACAAAAGCAGTTATATGGCCTTTTGACAAAAACCTCAAAGGTACTCACCAGATCAGTTTCAGGATTCTCACACTCAGGACAGAGAACAAATTTTTTAATGAATCCATCCAACATGTCTTGCAGCTTATTCGCCTCATGAGATCCATTGACAATGTAACGGTCATTCTTAACATCAAACTGGGTCTGTGCTCCCAGCTCACAACCAAAATATTTGGTGGGATCTATTTGAATAAAAAGTTAAAGTAATCACAGTTAACTATTATTGTCATCTTTGGTTACTCATCTGCATTTTTACAAGCATCACTGCACTGTCTTAAAATTATCGGATTAAAGACATGTGTTGCCCTTTGTAAACTTATGGCAAGCAATAAATGTATTTTTAAAGCCCAAGTTTCCACACTTAACCTTTAAACTAACTAGTACACATGTCAGGTAAGTTTTGCTGCTCAAAACCCCTCAAGACTAAATCCATAACATGCCCTTTCAGATTTCTCCAAGCTTTACTTACACGTTGGAGGCCGATTAAGCGCCTTTGCAACGTCAACCATGTTGACTATAACTGTCTTGATTCCATTTCCTTTGCCCTCAACCTAAAGAAAGTAAGAATTTTAATGCTGTAGTCTCCCCTGAGACACAATCTTTAAAAATCTATGAAGACTTAGATCAACTTTCTACTAACATGAAGATCAGTATTACCTTGGCAATCAGACGGGGCATCTTGTAGCGATAGAACTGGTCTGACACGCTGCGGTTGACGTTGACAGACATTTTGGCTTATTAGTGGCTTTATCAATAAGATGAAGAGATCTTTGATTGCAACTTTTTGGTATCTTCTGTCTGGAGAAGAAGGGATGACATAAACGACTGCAAGAGTTCTCGGTCTCTGACATGAAAAAATTTTCGCCACTGAGGCTGTAAGCTTCTTGCTTGTATGCTATGTTTCCCCAATACAGGTACCAATGGCTGCGCAACAGCTCTGAAAAAGAAAAGGGAAAGAACACACAAAAGTTGCCCAGGTTTCACATCACCCAGCAGGGAAACACCCCACTTGACATCCTAGTTAACTGCTCCATTTGGGTGCTAACAAAGAATTCACGCCCGACACAGCACACCTGTAGGAGAACATAAGCAGCCTCCGTTTGGACTAAGGTGGGACACCGGTAGAGTAATGCCCGGTAAAAAAAAAACACAAGCTGTGCTGCCTCGGCTGCTGCGGGTTTGTAGCAGATCAAAAGCAAGCAGCAGGTCCTGCTTCGGGACAGTGACCGTATTTTGAAGCTCTCCTCTCGCAAGCCTGGATCGACAAACTGAGTTCTCAAGTCCACCCCTCCCCCGGAGAGCCATCGTTTTCCAACGAGAAACTAGGGAAGCGCTCCAACCTCACAAATGGGCGCTCGGCTTACTTCAAAGCGGCCCTTCCTCCCTATGGAACGTTGGTCTCGCGGCGGCGAGTGTGTCAACAACGGAGCGCGAGCGAGCGCCAAGCTCCCGCCTCGGCCCGCTCCCCGCTGGCTTCGCTGTTCAAACACAGGTTAACCTTCGCCCTCGTCCCCATGACTACCGCGGCCCCGAGGCTCCGGCAGGGGCCGGCGAGGCG